AATTCAATTTGGTTTTTTGTTAAAATTATAGAGTATATACATACGAATTCGAAAATATGTTGTCTCAAATAAAATGTGTAATTTGAGAGGTGTTTTGCTCATATTATTAGAATATTTGTGAAAAGAAAATATAATGTGATCACCATATGAACGATTTTGATAATTTTGCTTTTGGAATGGAAAACTGTTTCATTAATTTAATGCGAAAGATAAGTCCTCTTTCCCCATTCAGTTTCCTTAGAATTTGCCGAATCTTCATCAATTTAGTTGTACTTTCTTTCCTTTGAAACAATTAAATCAAATAAATAAACTGTCAGAAGTCCTAAAATTATATTTTTGAAATGATAAGACAATTGGCATTAATTCGACTGACTACTGCGAAATGTTCTGTCTTAAATATCTAAATTTGCACGTGCATCTTCAATCTTCCTGAAAATAGCAGACTAGTTTATAGTCATTAAGCGCTAATTAAATTGAGCTTTCTTTTAAGGTTTATCCTAAATTTACAAATAAATAAGATCAAGCAAAACAACTGATAAAATGATAATAACTATTGATGGGCAATCTAAAAGAACAAACTCCGAAATATGCGAAAGCGTTTAATTATGAATAAAATTCAATTAAAAATTTATTTGTCTTGTATACAGATTAAAAAATTTGGTGACAGTTAGAAAGAGAGTGCTTTTAAACAACAGACAAACTAAAGAGCATTAATTTTGTTATGAAAACAATGCTTTCCTTTTTGTCAATAGTTCATGTGGTAACAATCATATAAGTGTTAACATGAAAAATTTTTTTCTTTTTATTATAACTGGGCCGTTAAGGGTGTTAATATTCTTTTATACAATAGAAAGGTATCATGCTGGAAGTTTTATATTACTGTTATATTTTATTTGTTATGTCATATTTTATGAGATTTATTTGACATATCAATTGTATGAATGTTTGTTACTGTTTTTTCTGTAATAAAAAATACTTTTCAATGACATTTGACATTAATTTTGCAAAACGACAACTTTGTGATTTTTAAAAGAGTGGTTAATTTTTTTAATTATTTAAATTTAAATTGAGTTTTACGGTTTGGTACGGGTTTTAAAACAATTTTTAATGTTATACTATAACTTACATAGACTGCTACATACAATCTACTATTGAAACAAACACACAGTAAACAAATACTTAGTAATCATGTGGACTACAGTATAAAGTAATGTGGAGAACATTTCACAATTTCTTCATGCCTCTGTAGTTCAGTTGATAGAGCGTCCGCCTAGAAAGCGGTAGGTCACTGGTTCGAGGCCAGTTCGAGAAAAAAAATTTTTTAATTAATTTTTCTGCCTTTAACTCGTTCCTTTGATTACGTCATCCATCTGTTCTGCAGTTGCATGTAATTAATACTTAATATATACTTAATAATTTCACAACTATGATTTTGTATTAGTAAATTCATAATATGTCATACTATTATTTTTAATGCCGTCCAGGAATTGGGTTACAGTTCTTAGGTTCAGTTCTTGGATTATATGTTATCTTTTTCCGCCAGCATATTCTTTTAAATATTCTCTTATTTTTCAACTGACAGGCTTGAGTTCTTTCAACTGAGAGGCTTGAGTATCACATAAAACCTATGGTGACAAAAGTATTTTGCGTAGTGACTTTCAATAAAATTTTTAACACTTTTAATGAGGCCAAGCTGGCTTTACTACAATCTTTCGATGAACATAGACGAATACGAATGTATCTTTATATACATACATATATTAGAGCTTCTTTGTGTTGGTGAATAAACAACATTTCAAAAAAAAAATTCAAAACATTGTCAAATATCCATTAGTTGAAAAAATAATTTTAATTGTGCAGTCTACTTAGCAGAAATTAGGCGCCATAAATTTTAGCAAAAAAAAAAAAAACGAGTATAATTTTCTTTTAAATAAACTCACATATTTATTTTATATTAGAATAGTTAAATTTTTAAAGATTCGCTCAATTAATTTTGAGGTTTGCCTAAAATATACACCAAAAATAATTTTTTTTAAAAAATAATTTTTTATTATTTCTAAATATCAATTTTTTTTTTCACAATAACCTCACATATTACTTCATTGAATATAATAACTATTTGTGTATGTAAATAGTGTACTATGTATGTATGTACATCAGTACATACATATAAATTTATATCGTTATTATGTACGAAAATTATACTGTGCTTTTGTTGAATATTGTTAATTTAAAGTAAAATGTGGTTACCAAACTTACTAAACTTGGTCACAATAAAAAAAAACAAAATGTCAGTATCACAAACTTCTTTAAGAAACTTCAGTTATGCGAAAATTTCAACTAAAATAGTGATAAAGCTATTTAGTTAGCGTTATATTTGGAATTTCCGATAAATTAGATATTCACTTTAAACTTCAACTAAAATCATAAAATTCTTATTTTGCATAATTACAAATCTGCAAAACCCTAAAATTATAAAACTGCAAGCACAACCTTTTGTTTATAATACACTCTAATCTTTCCAATTTAAAATACTTTTGCAGAATATAAAAAAATAAATTTAAACATACATTAGAACAGGTACAATTTTTGAACGTGCTTCTTTATAACAGAGAATTATGGAAAATGCTACTCTTGCAGATTTTGCAATTGTGATTTAACGAAGATATGTAAGTTAGAACTGAATTATTGAAAAGTCTCATTCTCATAACAGGAAAACGTAGACGAAAATAAATGAAAGTATTGCAATATATGAAATTAGTCCTTCCATATGAAGGCAATTAAATTTAAGCATATAATTAAAATTCTGTTATACTTAACTTACTTAAGTTAGAGTTAATGAAAGATCTAGTGACACGAAAGTTAAATTTGCATATGCGTGACCGTCAAATTGGAATTAGACGACAGACAAGCTTGAATCATGCGCCCGCAATCATTAATTTTCATGACATTCTTGGATTTTACACTATATTTTAAAAAGAACTTGTCATTTCCATAAAGTATTATAAACTTTGAAATATAAAAATAAAAGTTAGTAAAGCTTGCTAGTTACATCATAGTGTGTAAACCTTTAGAGATGTATAATAAAGAATTCGGCATAATTAGAATTTCTTTATAAAATTAAGCCTTGTGTAAAGAATACTAAAATACTTTCTTAAACTGAATGGTTTTAATAAATTGTTTATTGAGAGATAAAATAGTGTAACGTATGATCGGTACACGTTGTAAACGTTATACACACTTTCATTTCTCAACAGACGAAATTTTGTCTACTTGTCATCCTACATATCATATAGTTGGATATATAGTTGATAGTGCTATGAAGAAGACTTTTTTTTGTAATTACAAAATAGAACCAACTTTTTTTGACTGGCTGTTTTAAATTAAAAAACGTAATACTCACTGGGGCCCCTCAAAAAAGTATCTTGTTGTGTAATTACAAAAATTGTCTTCTGTATATAACATTATAAACTATATACGCACAGATATTATATACTTGTTTTGTACCATATTTTTACAGCCATAAAATTTTGTTGAAGGGCCTTTCTCATGAACTTCCCTCGTTGATTTTGTTATGAAAGTATTTCCATTAAAAGTATGTGCCATTTACCGTATTAAACGATTAAACTTAATTTAACATAAAATTTTATGAACCTTACTATTCTTAATTGAGTAGTCACTGAGTTAATCGAATAGTCTATGGGTATAACAAAGTTCAGCGATCTTATTGATATTGCAGTAATGATCAAATTTTTAATTAATTTAAGAAACTTAAAAATTCCATATTTTTTTAAACGATTACTGTGAAATTGGCAACTTGATACAATCATTTTGTATACAAATTAAAAGTTTATGATTTTATTTAATTTTTGACAATATTTCAACGCTTTTTACAAACGTTTTAAAGTTTCAATTTGTTTGTTCAAATTTTGTCCAAAAAAAATCATTTTTTTTTCTTTCTTATATTTTTCACCTATTATTCTTTGACTATTTCGTTGTGTGTTATTTTCAAACTCAAAATTCAGAAGTCAATATAAATATAAGAAAGATTTGAAAAAGTAAAAAATTATAATAAAAATTACTTAAAATCAAAGAGACGTTACTAATAAATAAATATTTGTCATCAATTATTAATAATAACCATCAGTTTTTTTACCAAAAAAAAAAATTTCATTAAAAAATGAAGAAGATCGCTACTTGAATAAAAATTTTTTTAAATAGTGTGTCTTTTTTCTTATTACTAAAAAAATAAATGTATGTACTCGTATATGCTCACATATACACACTTATGTATAGATCTAATAGTGATATTTTGGATGAAGATTTTTGGATATTATTGTGGATATTATGTTGCCTCCCATAATAAAAATAAAAACTGTCCAAATTTTAAGTAAATTTACATTGCACTTTTGGCGGCAACTAAATAAAATTATAAGTTCTTTTCTTTTATAAAATTATATACAAAAAAATAAAAGCAAGCGTTCAATGATAACAAATTTTTTTTTTTGTATGATGCTCGGAATTTTGAGGCTTGTCGAAGTTGGACTCTATTATACTTGTTGTAATTATATTTTCGTATTGAGTCACGTAAAATATTTTACTTCTGTTTTCATTGTAATTTTCGGGGTATTTAAAAGTCAACAGTATTTAAAAAATAAGAAAAATATTGTATAATTTTCGTTAAACGCTTGAACCTTTTTTCCTGAGGTTCAAATAATTCTTTTAAATGATTTCAGAATTTATTTATACTTTTACAAATAGAGCTGTTGCCATTTCATCTTATATGAAACCCAATATTCTATAATACATGAATGCAATTAATACTAGTATCTATAGCTTCAAACATCCGTTTCCAAAGTTCGAATTCCAAAAAAAACACAGTTATTGATTATACATAATGTAGAGAATATAAAATTATTTGCAAAATGTTGCTATAAATGTGCAAATAAAATATTAAACAATCCAAAATTAGGGAAAATAAAACTTTTCCAGCTCCAAAATAAACAATGCTGCTTAATTTTGTTTTGCGTGTCGGCCTCGCGCAGGGCCATGCTAATCTTCTCTGTGTCGTTCCAATTTTAGTATATGTTCCGCTGAAACAAGAACTTCTGCCAATAAAGTGTCACCTGCATAGGCAGATTTTGTGGGGGCGGGGATGAAACCGCCGTGCACATTCTTTGCGACTGTCCGGTACTGGGTGTCTGGCGTCGCAATTGTTTTGTACAGGGTTTGCTAAGCTCCCTTGAGATATCTCCAGCGTTATACTTGGGACGGTGATATTATAGATGGGAGCGTGAGGAGGCTAAATAAATCAGGTATCGTTGCGATGACTTGGGGGGTTCCCTTAAAATCTACGATCTATGGTCTTAATTCTGCTTACAAAAATGATTATTGCAAAATTTCAGCAAAAATTTCTTAGACTAAAGTTATTTACTGCCAATATTGCGAAACTATTTTTGAACAGTTTTCCTTTCCACATCGCCCCACTCAATCAAAGAAAAATTATTGATTTAAATAACAAACAGTTCCTAATATGTTCATGCTTTGCAATTCTAGTACACAGAGTTTATAATTAACTCCAGATATTTTCGTATACGTGTAATGCCATTTTTTAATGCAGTTTTCCAAAGTTATTGTTGAATAATAAACTTATGAGTGAGTAAAGTAATGTTATTGCACAAATTTAAATTACACTTACGAGTACTTTGTGTTATTGATTAATTTTGCTTAAATCCTTCTAGGTTATTCATTGATTTAGGTCCCTTGAAATCTAAATTCCTAATGGCTTTAATAAAAATTTTCTGAAAGTTGAAACAACTTGAGATTTGTTTACTTAAAACTGAAATAGTCACAGAAAATGCTTTGTAGTTTCCAAGGATAAATGTTTGACGGAGTTAAAATAAATGTTCATTTTAACTACCTTTTTTTTGTAATAATTTTGTGTTCATAATTGGTGTTGGTTGCGGCATTTTAAAAAAAGCGTGAAGTGTTCTGATGATTTTTAAATTTTGTTTTATTTTTTTTTGTCTTAAAAAACTGGTTATAATAATAAAGACTGTAATAATGAACAATTTGAATTCGATACAAAAATTTTAAGTTAAAAATTAGCTTTGCATTATTATGGATCGGTTCTTTATTTTAGTGAAATCATCGTAGACTGCCATATCTAACAGACTTTAAAATTTGTTATGGGTAGACATATTGACAACAGAAATTTTTTTTGTGTTAATAAATGAAAAAACTTGTTTTTATAAATTTTTTTGTTTTACTTTAGAACTTTTACAATAATGTAAGGCCATCTTGGCTTGTCAAACAACAACGTATTGTAAAAAATATAGAAAATATTTTTAAGATTTTGAGCTTTTCGTGTAATCGAATAAAATATAAAGTTATTATGAATAAAATTAAAGTGGACTGCAGAAATTGATTTTGCATTCATAATTTTACCTGAATTCTAAATTAAGGAGTTTATATTAGTTTTCGGAATAGTAGATTATATAATAGTACTATCTCTTAATTACAATTTCTGTATAATTTGCGAGCGAAAGTCATCTTTCAGTAAGAGTGTGTGAAGCACTTTTTAATAAGCGTGTCCGAGCTTTTTTTTATTCAAAAAAAATGTATAAAATTTTTGACGAATAAAACTTTCGTCCCACTTCATGCAATATTTGGAGTCTGATAAATGCCCACTTGTAGTACATTTGCAGAGGTATACCTCACAAATCCACCGTTTTAAGCATTATTGTTTTTAAAGCGCCAGTATAGCGTTCTTTATTTATGTTTAGTTCAACAATATTTCAAATAACGGCTAGCCAGCCATAACAAAATTTTCACAAGATAATGAAGTCATCAAATGCAATAAAGTTCGAATAATCGTAAAGAGCTTCGAGCCATATACATGAATGATATGGGTTTTAAACAAGACATCCATTTTATTTCAGTAGAGTTGACAGTACATTAAGGAAGGCTATACCTAGCGTTTACTTTTACTGGATGTTAAGGCTATTTATAAATAATTTGTGGATTTGTTTCACTCCAACAACGACGATTTTATTTATTGAAATTTCGAGATAGATTTTCGGCTATAAATTGACAAAAGGGCACTAAACTACTATAGCCCCTAAGTTTATTTTGACTTTGAATAATTGAGCGATTTTGTGATGTACTAGATGCTTTGATATCGTTCCAATGTATAATTGTTAACCTTAAAAAACAAAACTCCTATTGAAAAAGTTTCCAAAATTTGTCGTTTTAAAATTAGAATTGCACAAAAAGTAACGGAAAATTTTAACCGACTAGTAATCTGCAACAACAAGATCCAATGTTCATTGATATAATTTGAAAAGCAATATTTTAAAATTAGATTTATTTAGCAAAGCCATCACAATATATGCAATTATTTGGGTTAATTAAAGAACAACACTAGGTATGACCACTGTATCCCAGAAAAATAAAAATTTATTCTATTCGATTTTAGAGTACACTCTTTTTTTCAGAAAATTTTGAAAATTCGGAATGTGAAAATCAATTATACTCAGTCTTTTGCTAAAATAATACCTCAAAAGCAAATAAAAGAAACGCTGTCCCATCAAATTCGAAATGTTGTTTAAAATAGTTTTATTAATTCAATTTAATCGAGAATTTCAGTAATATTAAAATTGATATCTCATAGTTTGCAGTTTTCACACAATTCTTTAATTTTTTCTTAGCGTATACTTTAGTGTTTTTACATTGTTTAACGAGATGCGTAACTAGGTAGCTAACTACTATTTTTGTACAAAATTTTGAGTACTACTTCAAAGCTTTTTCTGTATATTTACTAGGAAAATACAAACTACAATATAAAAGTTGATATTTTGGGAATTTTAAAAAATTTTCTTTGAATTTATTTCAGTAAACTTTGCAAATTCTTATTAAAATTCTTTTGTAGCAGTTAACAATAATTAAAGCATATAATCAAATAAATTTTAGAATGGATTTTGTTCTTAAATGAATCTAAAAATTTATTCATTTGTGGAACTTAAAAAGCAGTTTTGTAAATTAAATTTTCAAGAAGAGTGTAATATCGGTTAAATACCGATAATAAAGCTTCCGATTAGGAAGAAAAACAAAAATCCTTATTGCTCTTTTGTGTTTAAAATGTTCAGAAAAATTTAAACAACTTAATTTCACACATATTAGACCAAAAAGTTGTAAGGGAGTTTACATGTTTCTAGATATCCTGCTCGAGTACTATGGTTACCCTATTTTATGCACATATTAAAATAATCCAATTTGTAATATTTAAATTGCTAATGTATCCAACATTTTTGTTTTAAAACTATCAATAATTTACTTGAGAATTCGTAAAGAAAGTGAGCACAATAGATATCTATCTTGAACTGCCGTGTATTCTCATCTGTATTTTTAAATCCAAAAGTAAAAAATATATGTGTGTGTATAAAATCGTGCTCCGCAATCAGTTTTACAGAAAGCATGTAGTATAAAATTGTTGTACATTTTCATTGTCTTATTCGAAAAATTTAGAATTTGCTATAAATGAGAAATTGTATAGATTTTTTAGGTTAGCTATATTTCCTTATTGTGGCTGATTAATGCCATATGTCTTTTCGACCCAATTTCATAATTAATCCAAATGATTTAATTAACAGTTAAGCATCCTATTTATTTATGAATTTGCCTTGTTAGCACAATTTTAAATGAAAGTTTCCAAAATTAACGAAAATAAAATTTTTAACTTTTTGTTACATAGAATTTAGAAAAAATCTTTTTTATTTCTGAATTCCTTAATAATTGAGCGATGGCAGCAAAAACATGCTTTTTGTTGTAAAATTCCTTAAATTAAATTCATTTATTTATATAATTTTTAATATTATTTCGCATTATAGGTTTAATGAAAATTGCAGGAGTTCCCAATTATTTACATGTACATTTTATTATGTGCTTACTGGTTAGCCTCCGTATTAAATTTTAATAAATTTTTGATATCGAACGGTCTCATAAACGAAGTCTTTTCGAAAGTATTCCATAATGTTATCTATACATCTATAATGTTATAGCGTGTTTCATATATACTTATGTAATTCATTGGCAAGTACATACGCACATACATACAATATGATATTTCATATATTCCGTCTGGTTTTACAATATGCAAAGTTTACGTTATCCTGTTCTAATATCATTCATTTCATTTGTTTTTTAATTTTTGTATTTTAATTTCTAAAACGATTAATCTTCAATTCTTTCGGTGATCAACTCTTATTATTTTACTTTTAATATTATTATCATTTTTCAATATGTCTGAAGCACTTCCATATTCCTATAATCTTACAGGTAAATAAAAATTATAAAGAAAAAAAATGTAAAAATGCTTATAAAAAAATGAGAAAATGAGAAAAAAGAAAAACTCATAAATTGTTATAATTTTTCAATAACTTTTTTTTGATTGTTTTTATTTTTTTTCTTCTTCTTTTTTTTAAATATATTTTTCATTACGTTCCTTTATTGACTGGCCAAAAGATGACTTATCAAAAGTTTTTTATTAAAAAGTTTGAATAAAAAAGTTGAAAACAAAAAATTACAAATGCAGAAATAAAAAATTTCTGTTTCACTTATTATTTTCAATTTTCAATGTTTCCATTATTTTTACTCTACATTTATTTCATATTCTTTCTCATTCTCGCACAAACACAATAGCAATAATTTCATTTATTGTATTTGTGTTGGTGTTAATGAAAATGTTATGAGAGCAAAACAAAGCATAATAAAAATTTTAAGTTCCGCCTAATATAGGGGTGTGGTTAAATACTCGTAAATAAACAGTTAATTTTTTTTTGACAATATAACAGGTATTTGATGAATACATGCATACATAAATGTACGTGTATATGTGTACGCATAAAAAAAAATTAAACGTGCTTTATGAAAATGAAAAACCAAGTGAACGTTCTTTTTTTTTTTTTATTTGAAACAATTTCATATCCTTTTTGGAGTCCTTAATAAAAACAAAAATAAAGAAAACGTACCTATTTTACTGTTTTTTTTTTGAATATTATTTTTTGTTTCGTTTTATTAAATAAAAATGTAAATGTGTGTTATATTAA